ATCTACTTACAAATAAATTTATCCTTTAAAAATATTACTGTTATAAATATTAAAAATCAGTGTGTCATTGTGAGGAAAGTACGATAAAAATATTTTATTTCAGTGGGAGTTTATTTTGACTGAATAAATAATTAGATCACTGTATAGACTGAATAAATAATTAGATCACTGTATAGGTCGACACGCTAAAATGTCTAGAATTGTTCGGCTTTCTGAAGGATATTTTCTTCATAGAATACTACAGGAGAAGTTTATAAGGAATAGAATACATCAAAATTACTGATCAGTATCATGATTTTTTTTAGTTTAAGGAATTGTAATTCTCAGAACTCAGTTTATCTGCATTTCAGTTTTAAATCAGTTTTTCTAGTCTATGAAAACACATTATGTTAATTTAAGTTGTGATAAATTCTTATGGAGATACAATTTTAACTGTCAGATCCAATTTCCTTATGCCTTATTTTCAAGTATAGAATGTGAGAGTTAGTAAGGTTCTCAGAGATCCTTTGTTTTATTGATGAGGAACTAAGATGCACTGATTGGCATTGCTGGAATTCCTAGGATCAGAGCTGTTTTTACTAATGTTGTTATGAACCGTTAAGTCTCCTGTGACTCATAGTCATGCTATGAACAACAGCTCTAAAGCCTGCCCTGTCCTGAGTCAGTCTCACTAATTCTGATACACCAATCCTCATTGCCCCAATCTCTGTATCAGTCCATCTCATCTGGGTTCATTCTCTCATGAGCTGTTCCCTCTGGCCTTCTGAGCATAATGTCCTTCTCCAAGGATTGGTCTTTCCTGGCCATATGCCCTAAGTATGTGAGACAGAATTTCAAACCCTAGCCTCCAAGGGGAAACTTGGTAGACTTAATGTAATGAAATTCTCTAATAGGCTCCAAGATATTTAAGCACTTATGGCTATTTAAATATAAGTGGTTCAAAATTTTATTTATTTTAGCATTTACAAGGCAAACTAATGGCAAATTAATTGTGTAAACATACAAATGAGAAAGTGTTTAAGCACTAAACCTTTGAAAGAGTGCTTTCTTTAAATAATAATCATCATAAATAATTCAAAGAGAAAGCAAAAGTGCTTTCTAGAGAAACAATGTGTAGTTCTCAACACTTTACATGTTCTCCTCATTCTTAGAAATCTGCACTTTTGGTTTCAGTGTTACCTCTTACCTAGCCCTAAATGAATCAAATAAACTCCTCTATCTGTAATGCTTATGAAATATTTACTCATAGGATGAAAAGAAGAGCAGCTGGAGTCAGAATCTCAGGGCTTCAGCCCTGCCACAGTCTCTCTTTGGCTGTCAGACTTCATCTCTTCCAGTTGCAGGCAGACTTTATTGTATAGTGAAGATGAAAGAAATCTCACAGTTGTTTTGGACTACCCTACTGACATTCCACTAAGCTGAGTGGACAGCACTTTTTTGAGACTCTATCTTTCCTCAGGAAATTGGTTGTGGTTCCTTCATGTTGCTGTAGGAATAGGGAATCAGAATCACATATAGGAGAGAAGGGGTGACCCTCTTAATAAAAGGATGTTGGGTAGACAATCCCCCATATGTCTACTCTATCTGGCTAGACTGGGCTATTTTTTGTAATACCTTTTTAGTGAAAAGTGATTATTTTAAAATTAAGGCTTGGAAAACAAGGATTCAAATGTAGAGAGTATTATGTATAGATGCTAATTAAAAATATTTCTGTTCTAAATGATTTTTATCTCATTCAACAATTATTTTCTTTTTTTTTTTCAGCAACTTGAGGAATACTTAAAGAAATGTAATGATCAAATTGATGATATTGTCACCTTGGTCCGTGGCACGTTGTCCAAGCAGAACCGTGTTACTCTGGGTGCCCTTGTGGTACTTGATGTCCATGCTAGAGATGTCCTTTCATCACTTGTGAAAAAGAAAATTAGAGATGATTCAGACTTTGAATGGTTAAGTCAGCTTAGGTACTACTGGCAAGTAAGTTATATCGCGGAATGTTATTACATAGTCATTTCTTCTTATAGCCTTTTAATTTGTACCGTTTGTTCACATGGGAAATAGTGTGAAGTAATATAGAATTTTTTGCTGATGCCCAGCTGTAACCAAATTACCACTTTCTAGGCTGAGATTAAGCGAGCTAGCACTTCTACCTGTTCGATTTGTATCTATATGTCCATGTATATTACTGTTGTTGTAGGCCATGGAGTTGGAAATGACCCATAGCTGATCTCCCAGCAGGTTTTAGTAGTAAATTGCATGGAAGAAGAGTGCCCAGCCTTCTCCTTCAGAGCATCTGGTGGATTCAAATCGCGTGTCTTTGGGGTTGCAGAGCAACTTCTTATAACTGGGTCACCTGAGCTCTCTAAATTATTAGTAATTATCAAATATTATTAATTACTTGTAATTATAAGGAGCTCCTGGTGGTGCAATGATTAAGTATGTAGCTCTTACCTGAAAGCTTAGCAGTTTGAACTTTTCAAGCAACTCTATAAAGATGAGACCTGGAAATCACCCCTAGAAAGATTACAGCCTTGAAAAGCCTATGGAGCCATCCTACCCTGCAATACTGGATGACTGTGGGTAAAAAATTGACTCCTCAGCATTCAGCAACAGTAACGATAGTCACTATGCTTATTGAATCTGAAAAGTGAAGCCCAAGTGCTCCTCGGCGGCAAGAATCATGGAGCTTTGTCTGATTGGTTTCACCTATTTTGGGCATGTTGTTAGGAGGGGCTGTTCCTTGGAAAGGGACATCATGCTTGGAAAGGTGGAGAGTCAGCAAAGGAGGTGAAAACCATCAACGAGATGGATTGACAGTGACAACAGCAATGGACTCAAGAACATCAGGGTTGGTGAAGATGATCCAGGATAGGACAGAATTTAGTTCTGCTGTCCATAGGGTTTCTCTGAGTTTCATCTGGCTCAATAGAACCTAACAACAACAAGAGTCAGGTTAGTTACTAAAGAGCTGTGCTCCCAACCCAAAGGCACTTGGTTCTAATCCACCAGTTGTTCCTAGAGAGAATGATGGATAGTCTCCACCAGTGTGATTTAATCTCTGAAAACTCACTGGAGGATTAGCTATCAGTCACTTCTAACCTTATGATGCATAACAACAACAATCAGATAAGAATGTGCCTTTAGATTTCTGATATATCGAAAAATGTATGAATTATAGATTAATGTTTGTTGTTGTTTTGTGCCATCAGGTCACCTGTAACTCATAGTGACCCTGTGTACAACAGCTCTGAACACTGCCCTATCCTGAGCCAGTCTCACTGACTCCAACACACGTAGTCCCATCATCCCCGTTATCATGTCAATCCATCTCATCTGGGATATTCCTCGTCTGTGCTGTCCCTCCATTCTTAGATTAATTTTGAACATTTTTTTTATTAATTTAAAGATCTAGTAAAATTATTTAGAAGAAAAACTTGTATTGGTATCAGTTTATGCTAACCTCAGTCAAGACCAGAAAGGCAAAGTGTGATGGACCAGGTTGGGTCTGTTGAGCGTGGGAAGAGGTGCTGATGACCGGAAGTAGATTCAAAAGACTGCACTGTGTGGGCTTCGTGGAACATTCAGGGGATGTGAGGCGAGTGGAGAGGAGAGAAGAGGAGGTACCCAGGAAAACCGTGTGAGGGCCAGTGGTGTGATGGTTGGGGGTCTTTGTGCCTCATCAGTAGCTTGGCTCTGGTGAATCTACTACCCTCTTCTTCAAATTTTATTTTGTTACTTTTTTCTATTAAAAGTCTTTTACTTCCATTCATAAACATGGTATTTTACACATTCCTTCATTCACCTTGTATTTCATGTGATCATTCCCATACTTTGTATCTCATAAAATTAATCACCAACCCTCTTAAAGCATTTGTTTCCTCATCTATGAAATGAGTATAATGATAGTGCTCATTTTATTGAAAACAAAATAAGTGAAATTATGGGAGAGGAAAGGAACGTATATTTTTTGCTGAAATCTTTCTCCAGTAAAATTTTAAACCCGTTACCACAAGAACTTATCCAAAGAAAGATATTTCATTCTTCTACTCTGCAAGAAGGATGGCTGATCCCCCGCCTATGTGATTAACTGCCTCTTAAAACCCACTGGAGGGTCAGCTATGGGTTGGTTCTGACTTGCTGGTACAGAGGACAACAACTGTATTAAATGACATGTGAAGTGTAACTTGTAAAGATGTTGTCTAAATCATGGTAATCATTAATTACTGAGATTCAGATTTCATATTATTTTAAATTTTATTTTTTAACTTTATCTGGCTTATTGCAGGAAAACAATTTAGAAACAAAAATGATCAATGCTGGTTTACGATATGGATATGAATATCTGGGTAATTCACCCCGTCTGGTTATTACTCCACTCACAGATAGATGTTACAGGTAAAGTCATTCATTTAATGATCTATTGAAAATAATTTTCTTTCACCCTTAGAACATATGTTTCTTGAAGAGTACTAAATTACCTTCCACACTATATATTTATCCTGTGTTAATCTTTTCCTAGATTTAATTCTCTTCTCAACTGTCTTCATTTCTTTCCCCTCCACTGGTTTATTTTTGAAACTTTAAATATTACCATGTATCTCTCCTATGTAAATAAAAGGAGAACTATATTTATGTCCCCTTCTGGCTATTTCATTAGCAATATTTTTTCCTTTTTACTCAGTTTTCTGAAGTGTAGACTTATTTATTTCTCGCCTCTTCTTTCAAACATTGACCCTGAATATTTCAATCTAGTTTCTGCCTTACTTTTGCCATTTTCAAAAGAAAGATTTCGTTTTCATCTCACTCCAATGTACTACTTTGCCTGCCATTTCCCCTTTCTTCTTGATACTCCAATTCTTCCTTTTGAACCTTATATCATCCTCCCACTCCCTACTCTGAAACACTGAATTGTGCTGCTATCCCACGGTGCACGTCTGGGATGGCACCACAATCTCCTCCTGTGTGATGTACAGCCTCTGAAAACCTGCAGGAAGATCAGCTGTGAGTTGGTTCTGACTCAGTGGCACACAACAGGGTTTTCACAAGATAATTGGTCTCATTTTCCATGATTTATAAAAATTTATTTCAGTTATTAAATGATAGTTTAGGTATAGAACTTTAATACATGGCAATTTTCCCTCAGCCCTTCAAAGGTACTATTCCTCTAACATCTGTTGCTTTTGATGTTGTTGTTCAGTGCTATTGCGTCAACTAGGACTCATAGCAACAGTAGGAACAGGGATCTGAGATCTGCTTATATCCTGTGATGTATGTGAGCCCATTGCTTTAGTCACTGTAACAAGTCATCTTGTTGAGGGGCTTTCTCTCACTGAGTTTTCTAACCACAATATCCTTCTCTACAGACAGGCTTCTCCTAAAATTTACCCAAAGTATGTGAAATGAAGTTTCACTGTCCGTATTTCCAAGGAACCAAGATAGACCGGTTTGTTCTCCTGGCAATCTATGCGACAATATTCAATAATCTTCTCCAACACCACTTACTCTGTCATCCTTAGTCATCAGCCAACTTTAAAATACATAGCAAATAATTGAGAAAGCTAAGTAATTAAATGACTTGGATCACATGCACTTTCAAATTGGTATCATTGCACTTTAACACTTTTTTCAGTTAGTATTGATGTTGTTGTGTGCTGCTGAGTTGGAACTAACCCATAGCTGACCCTCCAGTGGATTTTCAGAAGAAGTAAGTCACACAGGAGAGTAGTCATCGTACTACTGTGAGCACCTGGTAGATTCAAACTACGACTTTGGGATTGCAGCCCAGTTTCTTCACTAGGCTCTTAGAGGTTAGCATCATTCCCTTACTATTTTACTTTCTTTGTCATAGCTGCTGATATTTTCTCTTTGTTGTTGATATTAATTATAATTAAGTATGATGTGAGTTCTTTATTAATCCTAATTGGTACTTCTTCAAGTCATGTGTTTAATTCTGGAAAATTCTTAGCTCTTGTTTTTTAGTTCTTGCCTTCTGCTGGCATCCTTCTTTTCTGTTTCTTTTTCAGCTTCCCCACCTTACTCCCACTCCATACCTTTAAGTTAATTCTGACTCAGACTGGTCCTTTAGGGCAGGGTAGAACAGCCTTTTAGGGCTTCCCCATCACTTGGTCATTCCTGCCGACTCTTCAGCGCATGGTGTGGTTGGAGGATTTAAATCATTCACCTTTTTTTTGTTAGCAGTCAGGTGCTTTATCCTCTAGGTAAGCATGATGAAGCTCCAGCTCACATATTTTGGGCTTATTGTTAGATGTTGTTCCTTGGGAAGAGACGTCATGCTTAGAGAGTCAAGGGAAGAGAGGAAGACCTTCAAGAAGATGGTTTGCCATGATTATGGAAGCAGTGAACTCAAGGATGTATCAGAGATGAGAGAACTGGTGCAGGATAGGACAGAGTTCATAGGACAGGGCCACTGTGAATTGTACTCAACTTGAAGATGCCTACTAACAACAGTTCTTCTTTTATGTTCTTTCTGTATATTTTTGGGTAATTTCTTCCAATTTATATATGTCTTCCAGTGCATGATCTTGTTTCTTTATGTCTAATCTATGCTCTTAATGAGCTTGATGGTGGTGGGTTTGGTTCTATATGGAGGATAAACTTTCTTGTCATACGTTGTTGCTGTGTGCTTTTGAGTCACAACTGACTCCAGTGGGTTTTCAGAGACAGTAAATTGCTCCATCTTTCTCTAACGGAGCAGCTGATGGGTTTGAACTGCGAGCCTTTGGGTTGGCAGCACAATTCCTCACCATTAAACTACTATATATGGGGATTGGAGTGTTGGAGCTAGTGAGATTGGCTCAGCACAGGGAAGAGTTCAGACCTGCTGTACATAGGGTCGCTATGCGTCGCAGGTCACTATGTGTGCAATCGATAACATTCTATGGCAGGTTTAGAAGCAGGAGTGGCACCCACTTCCTAAATAACATGCCTCCAGAAACTCTATGAACTTTGATAAATGTCGATAGTTGTAGAGGGGCTTCAGGCCTTTTGCTTATAGGGTCACTGTGAGTCATGCTTGACTCAAGGCAATCAACAAAAACAACAACAAGAACAACAACAACACTACTATGGTTAATTCTTTGCCTGTTGTTGGTAGATTACCAGAGTAATTTTAGTTTCCCATTAAGGTTTATATAGTTGACTCCCTTGTGGCTTCCACTTTACCTGGTTCTGTGGATTAATTCTTCCAGTTTTCATGTGTATATAGATCTCTGGTGGCATAGTCAGTATGAGTTGTACTGCTAATACTACAGGTATGGCTTTCCTATGGTTCAAATCCCTCGAGTCTCTGAGGAAAAAAGATGGGAAGCTCTTCCCTGGAATTCATGGCCTTAGAACCCCAATGGAGGGACATTTATGGATCTGTTTCAACTTGATGTCTATGAGGTCAAGTTTGAGATTCTGTTTGCTTAAATATATTTGTGTTTATTATCTTGATTTTTACACACCTTAACCTCTGTAACTTTAGCACCTAATAACTCTTCTCTTTTGAATTCCATCCTAATTGGTAAGTTCTTACATCTTTCAAATGAACATTTTGAAAGATGTTCATATATTCTATAAGCTATTATTTGTTTTATTATATGTAGTATTTTCATATGACATTAGGGACAGTGGGTTGATTAGGGGCAACTCATTTCTCTACATTGACAGGTCATCTACAGGGAATTTCAAATATGAATTTGTTGTGTCATTGAAACAGCTCTTGAGAAATAATTATATCAGATGAATTAAAGCTGTCAGAAATTCTTGGAGGTAATAGTAAAGGAAGAAGTAGTTAAAAAAGTATTCTCAGTTTGAACTTTCTCTCTTCTTGGTATATGCATGGAAAATTATCCTGTTCTACAGAGATTTATTTCTTGCATTTCAGAACCTTATTTGGAGCACTTCACCTGCACCTTGGAGGAGCACCAGAGGGTCCAGCGGGCACAGGAAAAACAGAAACTACCAAAGATTTAGCAAAAGCTGTAGCCAAACAATGTGTTGTTTTCAACTGTTCAGATGGATTGGATTATCTGGCTTTGGGAAAATTCTTTAAGGTTTGAGTTAACTTCTCATATCTCTCTAATAATATAACTAATCAGAGAGGAAAATTATTTTTAGATGAAATAAAATTGATCACAAATGAAAAATTTAATGTAGCTTAGCCAGAGATAAAAGCCAGACTGCAGTGTTGTTGATTTTAAAAGTGAAGGAGTTGCATCATAACTCGTTTAGGGAGGAATTTTCCCTATCCTTGAAGTTGTCACTCTGTTATAATAGGTCATTCCTATTGATAGGAATAAGTGATAGCCCTTAAATACATTGGAGAAGAGAAAAATGTCAGAGGTAGTGCATCATGTAAAGACAATAGAAATCTAAAAAGTTATTTAACTTGTAAATCTTGTTATTAACAAGTTACTATAATTCAGTAATTTACTTTTGTAATTGAATTGTAATTCTCTCAAAAACTTATTGCTAAGGCATCGAAGCTGACTCATAACTGACCCTCCAGTGAGTTTTCCGATCTGTCAAATGCAGGGAAGGAGATGATTGCCTTTCTTCTGCTGAGTGCTGGTAGATTAGAACTGGATGCCTTTATGTTAATAGCAAGTTCCCTGTGGACTCTGCCACCAGAGCAGAATTCTTTGTGAATTTTAAATCTTTCTTTTTTTGTTTTGTTTTGATTTTTCTGAATTGGATTCTCACATGTATGAATCTGGTAGATCCCAAAAGAATGTAAGATGTAAAGCTCCTATTTATAAATACCTGGTTATTTTAGCACATTACTGCTACAGCCTATTATTATTTAAAGTATTAAATGTTACAGTTGACAATGTGATATATCAGACAAGAAAACCCTTTTCGTAGTTTGGAGATTTCCTGTAACTTTCAAATTGTGTTTAAAAAATTCCTTAATGTCTATATATTTCCATATTTTCTTCAGAAAAATGTAACACCAGTCAAAACAAACAGGAAAATGTGTTAGTCACATCCTATAGAGTAGGATGTTTCTGGCTGAAATAAAAAAAAAGTCATTTTAAAACAGATTTTGTATAAACCAAGGCTATATTTTTAGCCATGTTCTTGTGGCCTAGTCTGTAAAGAGGTGCATTGCTAAACCAAAAGCTGTGTTTCTCTGACAGTTAAGCTTTCCAGTGACTCCATGGGAGAAATATGTATACAGCCTTGGAAACCCACTGAAGAATAAGCTATGAGTCAGTTCAGGCTCAGCACCATTCACATTGAGCTTATTTTCATAATACTGAGACATTTAGAGTCAGCATTACAAATGGGAAAAACAAGCAGTCCAGTGCTAATGGTATCAAGACATTTAGATAACCACTTAATATTTTAGCTCACCCTCTTTAATACACAATCTTGTGAGGATGATTTAAGAGTTTAAATGTTTAACAATGAAAGAATTTTTCTTTTACTTTTCCAAGAGGGGAGTGTACGGGGGGGGGAGGGCTGGGAGGGGAGAAAAGTGCAACAATGAATGAATGGAAATCCAAAGTCTCTGTAAATTTTCATTGAAATTAAGAATATTTTTTTTTTAAAAAAGAGTTTAAATGTTTAAGTAAATATCGAGTATATATTTAAAGAAATATATATATTTCTAGATTGTTTAATCTACATAATAATATTCTTTGATGTAGAAACAAATGTTTACATATTAAATTTACCTTATTTATTGGTAAGTCTTTGTTGCTTATATAGACACCTGAGTTACTGGTGTCAAGTTGGTTCTGATGACTCACTCACTAGAACAGAGAAACGCATTTGGATTTCTTGACAGAACAGCCATGCTTCCCCCCACCATCCCCCCAAATGTTAACAGAATCCTTCCTATTTCAATGTCAACACTTGATATTTTTAGTTTAGAGTCCATTAAATAATGAGGTCTACAAAGAAAAAAAGCATGGTTCTTCCAGTCAAGAACATCACTGTCTGCATGTGTGACTTCCTAAGTTTCCTATTGTCTCTGATTTCTGATTCTTTCTTCATCACAACATGTATTGAAATGTCACAAGTTTGTCTCTAGATAATGAGAATGTATTTTGTTTTGATGTGTATGACTTATATTAATCTAGTCTTATTCATTAGAATGAACATTGCTATGTTCAGCCACTATTAGCTTTTGCTTAATAACATTTTGCATCATATAGCTTTGGTTTCCTTGTATAAAAAAAGCTATGCAAAGTGCGTGCACACACACATATTTACAAAATGTGTGTTTACTAATGTTTATTTACTTGTTTAATTTGTAAAAGGTAAATATGAATTTGGGATAAGATATTCATGCTTTATGTTCCACTTTCCTCTTATGATCAAATGTTGCTTATTTTTTAATGTGGATCAGGATTGGAAACTTGGTCCTAAAACTGTATTAATTGACTTTAAAGACACCAGATCATGTAACAGACTCATTGACAACAAAAAAATTTAGTGAATTGTTGTTTTATGTACCATCAAGTCAAAACAACTCACAGACTCACTTTAGCATATAACCCTTCATCTTTCTCCTGCTGAGAACCTGGTGGATTCGGGTCTCATGCTTTTGGGTTGGCGGTATAACTCCTTACCCCTAAGTCACCAGAACTCACTTAGAGAGTTACAGCAACTCATGCTTCTAAGTGCATGTGGGACATTAAAAGAACTTATAAATAAAAATAAGAAAAGTTTTGAAATCACAAATGTATATATCCAAAGATACATAGAAAGTAAAAATATCAGTTGTAAAATTTTCCAGTTGAGGAAACCCTTTATTCATGTGGAATAATGAATTGATAATGAAAAAAAATGAGCTGTCTTTAAAGATAAAGGTGACTAGGCAATTTCCTTGAAAGGATATTAAATCCTTTAAAAGATCAGGTAAAAATGAAGCATTTCATTGCAATATCTGATCAGATAAAATTGAAAAATTTCATTACTCTTCTCCTAGGGACTGTTATCTTGTGGAGCCTGGGCTTGCTTTGATGAGTTTAATAGAATTGATTTGGAAGTACTTTCTGTGGTTGCTCAACAGATTCTTACTATCCAAAGAGGTAATGGACTAGTCTATCTTTGCATTATGTAAAAATAGAAGAAATATGACAGGTAATAAATGATACAAGTCACATTTGTTATGTGGTTTTGTCAACTCATTTTATTTTCAATTGCCACAGGAATTAATGCAGGTTCTGAAACACTAGTATTTGAAGGAACTGAACTGAAACTGGACCCCACTTGTGCTGTCTTTATAACAATGAATCCTGGGTATGCTGGACGATCAGAACTGCCAGATAATCTGAAGGTAGGGAATAAGTTATTTTATAATGGGTTTACTCTCAATAATTTAAAAGTAATTATATATGTAAAGAACGTTCTATCACGGAATTTTATGAAAATATTTGCTTTTAGAGATTGTAGTTTGGCAAATTGTTACAGAACATTTTGTACAACTTTGAGTACCTTTTAAAAAGAAATGTGCCCACCAGATGCAATTTCCAAATTGAAGATTTTATAAGTACTGCTAATAATAGAAAATGTTAAATTCCAGGAAAATACTAAAAAAGTACTTCTTTTACTGCTCTGCTTACTATATAATTTTCCTTACATTTCAAGGGCCTCTTTGCAATATAACAATGGTGTATTATTGGTTTTTTAAATTTTTTAAGAAAAATCCTTGTAAAAATCTGAGATATTTTAAAGTATGTCAGGAAATAGTTAATTTTGAAAGCATATCTTAACCCGAAATTAAAATGGTCATATTATGGCTACCTAAAGCTTTATGATGAAGTTTTAAGATGCAAAGTATATGCAGAGTCATTGTATCAAAACACTGGTTGAGATTCATCCATTTCAGAACGAGCATATTTTCAAGAATCGATGGTATTGAGGGAGGAAATCCAAGTTGCCCTGAAAACACTGGCAAAAAACAAATCTCAAGGAATTGAGGTAACACGAGTGAAGATGTTAAAGCAAATAGAATCAACACTGGAAATGCTTACTAGTTTATGTCAGAAAAGTTTTAAGACAGTTAGTTACTTGGCTTAACAACCTAAAATTCATTAGAATAAAAGATGATCCACCAGAATGCAGAAATTAAAAAGAATGAATGAAATCTCACTTAAGAATAATTTTGCTAAATATAGTTTAAAAACAGTTGTAGTACATTGACAGGAATTTTAGCTGGATCTGCAAAAAAATGTTGAGTGGAGGATATTATTACTGATGTCAGATGGATTTTGTCTGAAAGCAGAGAATGCTAGAAAGATCTTTATCTGTGTTTTATTACTATGCAAAGACATTTAACTGTTGATCATAATAAATTGTAAATAAAATAAAAATGGTAATTGTAGAATACTTAATTCACACAGAACAAGGAAATACTATGTGATTTAAAAATAGGAAAGATGTGTGTTAGGGTCTTATCTTGTTTCATCTAATGGTAAGGAGTTGTACATCTAACCTAAAGGCAGGCAGTTTGAATCCACCAGCTACTCCATAGCTACTCTATGGGCAAAAGATGGACAATCTCTGTGCTATTTACAGCCTCTGATAACCTGCTGGAGGGTCAGGCATGAGTTGTTATTGTTGCTATGTGCCATCGAGTCACCTGTGACACATAGAAACCCTATGTACAGCAGCTCTGAACCTTGCCCTTTCCTGAGCCAGTCCCATTAATTCTGACACATCATCTGTTGTCTTCCTCTTCTGCACTATTCCTCCACCCTTCCAAGAATGATGTCCTTCTCCAAGGACCGGTCCCCTCCTGGCCATGTGTCCAAAGTATGTAATACGGAGCTTCAAAATCCTAGCCTCCAAGAAGAGACTTGGTTTCACCCTCTCCAAGACAGACCTATTTGTTCTCTTGGTAGTCCATGTTCAAGACTCTTCCCCAGAACTACAATTCAAAGGCATAGATTCTTCTTCTGTCATCCTTAGTCATTGTGCAGCTTTCTGATGCCTAGCAAGTGATTGCAAAGACCATGGTCTGGGTTAGGTGCACCTGTCTCTAGACTGACATCGTTGCTTTTTAGTGTTCTGAAGAGGTCCCTGACTGCAGATTTTTACCTTTTATAAGAAATATAAACGCAGGCTATGCACATAGATTTTACATGATGTGATGCACAGGAATCAGATTGATTACATCAATATTAAAAGGAATCATTGGAGAAGTTAAGTATCAGCAATGAAAACTAGGCTAAGTTCTGACTTTGGAGGCATGAGTTGATTCCTACTTAATGGCTCATAACAATAACAGCTGAGCGAGCATATATCAAAGAAACTGGAGAATACAGTATCAGGATTGGAAGAAAACTCACTGTAACTAGTAATATGCAAATTACACACTCTTGTTTGCTGGGGGGGAAATGGACTTGAAGCACTAATGAATTACTCATTAATTGATGAAGATTCAGGACAGCTTCAGCATGGGTCACACTTCAACATAACAGGACCAGTAAGCAAAACCATGATACATGGAGAAAACATTAAAGTTGTCAAGGATTTTGTTTTACTTGATTATATAGTCAACACTCACAGAAGCAGTAAACAGTTAAAACAATGTATGGTGTTTGGACAAATAATTAGGAGAAAGAATATCTTTATAAAGTGTTCAAAAGCAAAGACTTCACTTGGAGAACTGAGGTGAACCTTCTTCAAGCTATAGTCTCTTAAATACCTCATGTGCTTGTGAAAGCTGGGCAAATTAATAAGGAATGTAGAAGAATAATTAATTGAGGTATTTGAATTCTAATGTTGAAGAATACTGAGTATACATAACGTGGATTTTTCAGAAGAATTAACAAACCCGTATAGCTAGAATACTGCTTTGAAGAAAAGATAGCCAAACTTCATCTCGCATGTGTTCGATACGTTATCAGGAGAGACAGGATCCTCGAAAGGCCATCATGCTTATTAGAGTAGTTGTTGTTGTTCATCAGATATGATGAAGAGGTCAAGACATTCTTGGAAAAGCAGGAACTAAAGGTGTTTTTAAAACAAGATCAATATTGCTGGGAATATTGAAGGAAGTCCTTTTCACAGAGACACCACAGAAAAATGGATGGATCAAAGTAACCAGAAACAACACACACAAAAAGAGTTCAATAAAGTTATAGCAAAAAGGTGAGCTCTGGTGGCCTAGTGGCAAGAAGCTGCACTGCAATCCCAGAGGTGTGTGGTTCAAATCCACCAGATGCTCTGCTGGAGAAGGAGGGACAATCTCCTCCTGTACTAGTCAGATCTGATTTAACGGTACACACACACACACACACACACACACACACACACACAAAACAAAGCAAAACGATATCTATAAAACCTTACCTCTCAAGAATTACACAGAATGAGGTTTAAAACACCAGTGAAGAGAAAGAGAGTAGCAGATTGAATTAAAAAAAACCCCAAACAACAAAAAAACAACACAACTCATCAATATGCTTTCTACAAGAGACATATTTAAAAAGTGAAGATAAAGGTAGACTGAAAATCAAAGGGTGATAAAAATATACCAAGCAAATGGAAACTAGAAGAAAGCAGGAGTAGCATTCATTATTAATCTCCAATAAAATAGATTTCAGGGGAAATACCATTACTAAGGACAAGGAAGGACACTATATAATGAATAAAGGATCAGTAGAACAAGAAGACATTACTATAATAAATACATAATGATAAATACATATGAACCAAATTATATAGCTACAAAATACACAAAGCAAATATTAACAGAACTGAAAAGAAGAACTAGACTATAATAGTAGTAGGAGACTTCAGTATACTACTTTCAAGAAAAATAGAACTGCCAGAAAGAAGAATTAAACTACACAATCAGCCAACTGAATCTCATAGACATATACAGGCTAATGCACCCTAAAAAGCTCAGTATACATTCTTCTCCAGCATGCACAGAACATTCTCCCAAAGCAATCATATTTTAGGTTATAAAGAAAACATCAGTAAATTAAAAAACAAAACAAAACATTGAAATAATACAAAGCATTTTCTCAGATTGTAATGCTACAAAATTAGAAATCAACAACAAGACATAGGAGGAAAAGCCATGCACTTGGAACCTGAACAGCCCCCTGCTTGAATATGAATGAATAATATAAGAAATAAAAATAATGAAATAAAAAGTTTCTTGATACAAATGAGAATTAAACACAACTTAACTAAACTTCTAGGATGTAGCCCAAATAGTACTTAGAGATCAGTTCATATTGATAAGCAAACACATCAAAAGGGAATAAAAGAAAAAAGGAATTGACTATTTAACCTAACATCTCCAGCAAAAGAACAGCAAGAGAACTTGATAACCTCTAAAAGAAAGGTAATTCTAAAAATGAGAGCATAAATAAATGGAATAAAAAATAGAAAAACAATTAATCAATAAGACCAGGAGTTTGTTCTTTGAAAAGATAATAAAATTGACAGACCACTTGCAAAGCTACAAAAGATAAGGCACAAATAATCTGAATAAGACATGAAAGTGATAACTGGAATAAAAGGGTTAATGATAGAATTGTATGAAAAACTATACTAAAACTAATATGATAGCCTATAGGAAATGGACAAATACTTACAAAGTCACAACCCACCTAAACTGATACAGACTGAAGTAGTTGCTGTTATTGTTGTTAGGTGTCAAGTACAGCCGATAGTGACCCTATGAACAACAGATCTGAACCCTGTCTTATCCTGTGCCATCCTTACATTTCTGACATTAGAGCCCATTATTGCAGTCACTGTGTCAATCCGCCTGGTCAGTGTTCTTTCTTTTTTTCACTGATCTTCTACTTTTCCAAGCATCATGTCTTTCTCCAAGGAATAATCCCTCCTAGCAATATACCCTAAGTATATGATCCTCAAACATCCAGCCAACTTTATTCTAGAGTAGTTATGAGTCAGCATTTCCTTCAGTCATCTAGGAAGAAAAACTTTTAACTTTGACTCCATCTCCAGAGTTCCTCTGGTTGCACCTTGCCATAGCCTCTTCACAGAAGGGCCACCGTCTCTTCACCATCTGGCATATTCTCTTCACCCTCTCTCCATTGGTCCTATAGCTGTTGATTATTTGTAGGATCATGTGTCTGCAGTTAAGGTAGCTTTGAGACCATGTGCCTAAAGGTGGCTAATGCAATGGATGGAGAAACCAATTTTCAAGGTTTCTGACACCACAAGTTGTAGACCATATAGCAACAGTATGTTGTTGTTATTATGTGCCATCAAGCAATTTACGACTCATTGCGGCTCTACGTACAACAGCCCTATACTCTATTCTATTCTGCACCAATTGTTATTGTCTCTGACACACCTACTCCCATTTCTCCTGTCACTGAGTCAATATATCTCATGGAGGGTCTTCCTCTCTTGCACTCTCTCTCCACCCTACCAAGTATGATGTCCCTCTCCAAGGACTTGTCTCTTGAAACATGTCCAAAGTACATCCGATAAAGCTTCAGAATCCTTGCCTCCAAGGAGCAGTCTGGTTTCACCCTCTCTAGGACAAACCTTTTTGTTCTAGCTGTCTATGGTATATTCAACAGTGTGTTGTTGCTGTTGATTGCTGTTGAGTCAAGCACAACTCATGAACTATGACACTATGAACAAAAGGCCTGAAGCCTTTCTGTAACTATTGACATTTATCAAAGTTTATCAAAGAATTTCCAGAGGCATGTTGTTTAGGAAGTGGATGCCACTCCTGCTTCCAAATTCAACAGGATGGAGGAGGTAAAAACAAATTATATCCTGCATCCTTTATTTCATTCAACTGAAACCTAACATTCCTATATAGGTTATAGTTTTTAAGAATCTATATTCAATCCATTAGAAAGAATAGGTAAGAACTTAGAGCTTGAAAATTTTGTTTTTTAAAAAAAGAACTTGTAGTTTGAACTAATTTTTATTATGCAGTTCTTTGGAAGCCTCTTCCTGAAAGTATAATAGTTCTTCATATACCATCCCACTTTTACCAGAAATAGAGCAACTATTTGAGATCACTTATTTTCTGCCAAGATATCCATGAAAGATAATAAGTACATTAATTAACTGGATCTATAGTCCTTTTTTCTTACTTTCAGGACATTATTCCCTTGGTTCAACTAGAATCCAATTTAATTTAAAATCAGCTCAGTTATTAAATTGCCTCTAAATGCTAACTTATCCCAAACTTCTTGTTAACAACAAATTATTTTTATCTTATCTAAAAGAATATCACATATCTGTATGCCAGACATTCTTTTTATAGACCACTGGTTTAGAATATCCATCATCAGTTTAGATCTTAAACAACAAACAAACAAACAAAAACTTGCTTCCTTTTGATAAGAGTATCTTTACCTGTGATTAATAAGAACCAATGTTAGATCTTTAGTTAGAGATTTCTAATAAATAAACAGATCCATTGTTCATAAGATTACTGTAAGTTGGAATCAGAACGATGGCAGCTTACAATAATAACAGTAGGTAGGGAATCACAACAGCCTCTGGGAATGTATATATCTCATTTCCACACCACCTTTTTCTTGGGCTTTGACATGTCTGTGTCAATAAATTCCACAACTCTATTGCTAATTGTGCTGAGAGAATGTGAAGCGGAATTCGTACAATACTTGGAATGTTTAGAGAGCACCTATAGCACACAGTACTATAACATGTAACTGCTCAACACTGGTAACAACCTTTATTAGAAAGTAGAAAGACAGTGGCGTTATAGCCTAACCACTGGCAGACTGATGTCTTCATCCCGTCATTCTCTCCAAAACTAGTTGTTTCACACTTGTCAATGAAGAGGTTCCACTCTTACATTAATGTTTTTCTTTTGTCCTGAGCAAGGTAGTGATTAAAATGCTTGATTAAGCTTCTTGTCCAACTTAATTGCTCATACTATTATAAAATATGTATTTTGTGTTTTCCTTTCCATAATAGCAACTTTGTTGATAAATGACAATAATACAGCATTTTATAAGTAATTAACACATTAGAAAGATCCTGCTTGATGCAAATATTTTCCTTACCTCCAACCTGAAAGAGTCTTAACAGATATGTTACTGTTATTGTTGTTAGGTGCTTATAAGTTGAATACAACCCACAGTAGCCCTATGAACAACAGATCTGAATCCTATCCTATCTTGTGCCATCTTCGCACTTCCAGACACACTGGACCCCACTGTAGTAATCACTGTGTCAATCCACCTGGTTGAGGGTCTTCATCGCCTTCGCTGACCTTCTGCCTTTCTAAGCATAATGTCTCTCTCCAAGGAATGGCCCCTCCTGGTAACATGCACAGAGTATGTGAGGTGAAGCTTTATCATCTTTGCCTCCAAAGAGAACTATGGACACACCTTCTCCAAGACATACTTGATAACTTGAGTATGATGTTCATATTTTCTAAATACCTTATGTTTTAGGTAATTAAACTAATTAGCTATTTGAATATGATTGCTATTTCTTTCTTTTTTAAAAAAAATTTATTTTATTATTATTTTTGGGTGTGTGTACCATCAAATCAGATCTGTCTGGTACAGGAGGAGATTTGCCCCTCTTTCTCCAGCAGAGCATCTGATGGAGAATATGATTGTTATCTCAAAGACAATTATTTTCTTTAGAATATTGTTGTTTTCCTTATCGTCAATAAAAGGAAGTAATATTTTAATACATATACTATTGGAGGAACTCTGGTGACCTATTGATAAGAAACTGCACTGCAGTCTCCTCCTGTGTGATTAACTGCCTCAAAACCTGCTGGAGAGTCAGCTATGGGATAGTTCCAACTTGACAGCAAGCAACTATTAAAATCAGTCTTGACCTACTATATTTGAGACCATGCTTTTCTAAATTATTCACATTAGGCTTATTTTCCCCACAGTATTGAAAATGTACCATGAACAAATAATATATCTTTACAATTTGGAAAATTTGCTGTATTTCCAGTGATGGCTGCCCATAACTTCATAGTTTTCTTTGATTTATGCTTATCGAAAGAGTAACATGACCACTGAAGACTCAAATGGTCAAAAAAAAATCTCAAGGAATATCATTAATCTAAATTAACTTCATTATTAGGGGTTACCTGATTTGCTAAAGTTTATTGTCTTTTTGACACCCAAGGAGGGAGCCTCACTTGAAACTCATACTCCCAACACAAATGTTTGCTCACCAACACCATTAAGAAGCCTGGCGGTGGGACATTCTAGCCGGCTGAGGTTCTTGGCATTGTATTTCTTACAATGATTAATATAAAATTAACTGATAATTAGATTTTATTACTTAATGGTTCATCAAAGATATAACTATGATAGACATTTGAAGGTACTTCATGCCCCCCTTTTTTTAAAAATATGGAACACTTCACAGATTTACACATCATCCTTGTTCAGGGATCTTGCTAATCTCTGTATTGTTTCAGCTTTAGTACATGCACTGCTGAAGATGACCCTGAAGGTATTCTTAAGAGGTTTAAGGGAACAGCTGATTGAAAAGTTTGGTGACAATTTTCTTATGCAATGACAGAAAATCCATTTTCATTTTACTTATGCTTTGAATATTTCATTTTAATATTTTTTCAGAAAACCCTAAAGTTGTAACATTGTGAGAAATAGACAGCAGAGTGATCTTTCAGATGACTTTTTTTAAAAAGCATCTCTTGTGTGTGACATAGGCCCTCTTCCGGACGGTAGCGATGATGGTGCCTGACTACGCCATGATCGCCGAGATAGTCCTGTACTCCTGTGGCTTCGTCACTGCCCGACCGCTCTCAGTGAAAATCGTGGCCACGTACCGCTTGTGTTCCGAGCAGCTGTCATCACAGCATCACTACGATTACGGAATGAGAGCCGTGAAGTCAGTGCTTACTGCTGCTGGAAATCTAAAGGTAGAGAACTCAAGTGTTTCTTAACATGACTTTCATTTATAAATCCCAAGGCTATGTGTATTCACAGAGCTCCGGGTAACTGGTTGATTTCAGTAGCTAACTGAAAAACAAAATAATTGCACTTAACAAAAGGTCATTATTCTGCCTGTGTGAAATAGGCAATTTCAATTGATTTGCAGAAACATACACATGTAATTCTTAGTGATTCTGGTACAAAATGCCAACTATAAACTTAGATAATTGTGAAAGGATAAAATGACTTGCTGCTGAGAAACTTTATGAGTTCTTCCAGTTTATATGTATGCCTAGATTGTTAAAGAAAATCATATATATTTATAAATACATACACACAGAAGAGTTGGTGCATCAACAGTTAATGTATTTATGCAGTCACAACAAATGATTGACTAGCATGAATAAACTTACTGTGTAATTTGGGCTTTCGGAGTGTTCATTATAACTACATATGCTGACTCATAATATAACTTACTTATAGTATATTCTGGCTCATACTGACCCTACAGGACAGAGTAAAACTGCCCAAGAAAGTTTCTAAGGCTGTAACCTATGGAAGCAGGCTAAAGCCACTTTCTCCCATAGAGTGACTGGTGGATTTAAAGTGCTGACCTTATAGCGAGCTGCTAAATACTTTAGCTGTTATCCTACTAGAGTTCCTTAATTACAACCAAGTAAATTAAAGCCTCAAATACTTTTAAATTAACTTTTTATTGGAATTATTTTGTGGAATTAGAAAATATAACAGTATACTAATTAGTTCTTTGTGAACAAATGATAAGTTTATAGTTAACATAAAAATACCAGAGTGACTTCATAAAGCTTGAATGATTTGTAAAGGGCAGATACTCAAATATATTCTATATGATTAAAGAATTACATACATTTGTATCTTCTGCAATAATGTTATCAATAATTCTGATATATTGTGATGATATTCTTTTTAATATTAGCCTGACATAACTTCAAGTTATTGGGTTTTCAGTAAACAAAGCAACTAGTTTTGAGACAATTTATATTCATTTGGTTGTCAGAATTACATTGTGGTCAGATAATGGGAAAGATAATATACACTATCCTAGGGCATGTAATCACTGAAATATTGGCTATTAAGTTGAACTATTAAAGTTTATTCAGCAAATGAATCTTACAAATGAATCCTATAAATGAGTCCTATTATTCTTTGTCAAAAACTAATTTAGAATTGTTGAATGTTTTGACTTGTATATTTTGGAGTTTGATTTTATTATATAAAAAATTTCAGACATTTGCTTTAAAAATAATGTGTGTGTGTGTGTGTGTGTGTGTGTGTTGATTGCCTTTGAGTCGAGAATGACTCATAGTGACCCTGTGAACAAAAGGCCTGAAGCCCCTCTACAACTAGTGACATTTATCAAAGTTCATAGAGTTTTTGGAGGCATGTTAGCCTCTCAAATAACAAAACTGACTTTTGGCAACTCATAAGATAGGTGGTTAGCTTGATCCAAAGACTAGATGTGGATGAGCAAGACTAGCTTTGACATTAAAAGGGAAGAACCTCTGGAGACTCAAAGATTGTTGAACTTGATTTTCAGGCATCACTGACTTTACAAAGTTAAGGCTTTTAAGTGAAACATGGAATTTATTAGGAAGAAAGGTAAAAAGTTCTAGAAAATTAAATAAACCTATTAGAAGGCACACCTTTAGAGTATGACACTCAGTAAAGTATTAGAGTTAAGAGAAGCAATTCTAAGTTTGCTTTTGTTATTTATCTGAATCCCTTTATGAGTATGAGCAGTAACTCTATAGTTCATTTTCAGTAAACTTGGGATACACCAGAGGTGCCTTGGAATTCAGTGCAAGTTTTGTTAAGCAATCTTATATAACTTACTTTAGTATATTAAGCCGTTCTCTTCACGATCTTTATAGAACATACTATAGAACAAATATAGAACAACTGAGGTATATGTATGTTATACCTCACTTGCTGAATGTACTTCCTACCAGCAGACATTGTCCTATGAGCTTGATTTCCTTATAGCTTATTTGTTCACAAAACCTTTTGAAGATAGTTGGACTGTACTATTAGCTATTAGTGTATCACTGACTTAAATTTTATGTAGACTGATGACATATGGATGTGAAAATAAACAGTTTTGTTTCTGTGAAAGCTAAATTTGTTATAGAAAGGAGAAATGTAAAAAAATTGCTTTTGTATTTGGTGTGACTGAGACCAATTTATTAGTACTGTGCTGGCACAGTCTGTTAACAAAGACAGTAGCTCTCTGGCACTGGAATCCATCAGTGACTCTGAGGGAGAAAGACAGGCAATTTGATTTACACCTTAGAAATCTGCTAGTGGGTCACTGTGAATCGAGTTTGACTTAATAGCAATGAGTGAGTGAGTGAGGCTAATGTAATACACACTCTCACACAAGACTGTGTTAGTTAGGGTGTCTTTAAAGTGCCAAAGCCCAACTCTGTAACTTTAAAGATGACCATTGCCATGGCATTTTCAATGCCAGTGAAATGTGGGCAGCCATAGTGCTCCTTAGAAGCAAAGACAGTGATATTTTGTCTTTCACGCTCCAGGCATGTTATCTTTAGGGTCTAGACTACAGAAGAAGCAACATCCAGTTTTATTCTGATCTCGTAGCATCAGAGAGAGCACTGGTGATGTAAAGAGTTGTTCGGGTAACTCAAAGGCTATGCATCTTTGGCAGTTCAAATCCATCAGTGCCTCCTTGGAAGAAGAATGAACACTCTCCTTCCATATAATTCATGACCTTGCAAACCCACCAGAGGATCAGCTATGAGTTGGTTCAGACTCGATGGCAATGAAAAAGAGTGCCATGTCATGGACACTTTAATTACTTTAATGATTCTAATTTTTCAATTAGCCAATCCACCACTGATCTTAAAGGCAAAGGGCAAGCAATTTCTTACCTGATAGGAGCAACAACTCCCCAACTATACCACATGTGTGGTTGATAGTTTCTTATCCATGGCATCTATGAATGGGTGGTTGAGCTAATGTGAATTCTAATAGTAAACTAGTAGAAAATTAAGCAAGTGTAAAAATCAGTTTCTAAAATTAGTAACAATACGACTTTAAAATAAATGACACTGTTTTCATTTGATTAAATTGACTGTAGGATCTGAGTATGTGTGCATGTGTGTTTGTGTGGGGATTCATGTGTGTATACTCATAGGGGAATGGTCAGCAGGTGCAAATATAACAATATTTTCTTTCAGCTGAAATATCCAAATGAAAATGAAGAGATTTTGCTGCTTAGATCTATTATTGATGTAAATCTTCCAAAATTTTTATCTCATGATTTACCACTCTTTGAGGTAAGAACATTTATTTTATTGCAATGAGTCAAAACATTTATACTAATATATGTGACATGTCCAAGTGTGCAAGTGGTTAAGTCTCCAGATGAGAAATTTACATTAGCAATGATATGATGCAGAGAAACAAGGAAAATTTCATGTTTTATTTAACATTTCTTTGTATCACTTTGTTGTTTGGGATAACTTTTAACATTTGGAGTTCTCATTCATTATTTTACACATTTATGAATTTGGAGTTCTTATTTTTAATTTACTGTATTGTATCTCGGGTGAAAGTTGACTGTGCAAATTAGTTTTTCATTTGTGAATTTGTACATGTTTTGTTTGGCGATGCTGGGTGCAGTTGCCTTATTTTAACAGTGTTCTCCTTCCTTCCTGACTTCTCTATTTCCATCAGTCCTTCCGTTCTTTGCATTCTTGGCTTTGCTTCTTGACCTGTGTTTGATATTTGCTTTCATATGGTTGATTGCACTAGGAGAGTGTTCTTCCTTGGTGTTGCTGTTTACTTTGAAGTCTGCCTGTTGTTTGAGAGTCAGTCCCAGGTGGGTTTAGTTCCAGGCTTGAAAGGTGTCTAAGGGTCACAGTTTCAGATGTTCCACCATTTCTATCAGAACAGTGAGTCAGTCCTTTTAATGATTTTGACTTTCGCTCTGCATTTTTTAACTTGGCATCTTTAAATAGCAATTTTTGACCTTATAAGGAACATACAAAGGTTACAAGATGTTGTGCTCTTTTGACCATATGTAGTCTCTTTGTAACATTATAATTTATATAACACAGTATTGAAAACTAAAGAACAGAATAGGTGTGATGTTTGCTGAATTAATAATTGAAGAAGTAGGAGAGACGAACTTAATTTGTAACATTGAATATGATTGCTTTTACACAATTATTTTTTGGGTTAAATTGAGAATTAAGCTCAAGAAATCTTCAGGATTAGAATATTGGTGTTTGAGAGGAAGTATTAGATAATAAAGAGCCCTGGTGGCTGGCCTAATGCCTGCTGTATTCAGCCGCTAGCTGAATGTTTGATGGTTCAAGTCTACCCCTTTCTTATGGGAGTAAGATGTACTGTCTCCTCTCAGGAAGATTTCCAGCCTTAGAAGCTCAATGAAGGGTCAGTATGAGTTGAAATTGAGTTTTGATTGTGGTTTATTAGAAAACAGGTAATATTTCACAAAAATGTTTGTTGCCATTCTGTCCACTTTCCCATCAGGAAATTGTAGAGCCAGAGGCCTCTCTACAAATGTTATATGTCACAGCAATTTATTTATTTATTTACTCATTTACTTGGGGTGAGGGCAGGATTCACAATGTAAAGATGAAAGGTGTGTGAATGGGGTACCAGAGGTCATGTTTTATCATAGACCTGGCTCAGTTCGTAGCCTTCCCTAAGAACCACATTTCATCCTGTTTCTCTCCATACTGTTTCCAACCTACAGTACATATCAAGAAGGAAAGGGTTCAGCTTTTCCTCCTTCAGTTTGCCCTCAATTTCCTAGGTATTTGTGTCCCATAAAGATGGCTAGAACTGTACACAGACAGAGAATGGCCATAACTTCAAGTGGATTTAGAAGAGGCTGTAGCACCAGGGATATCATTGCTGCTATTAGATGGGTCCTAGCTGAAAGTACAGAATACCAGAAGAATGTCTATTTGTGTTTTATTGACTATGCAAAGGTATTTGACTGTGTGGATAAAAATAAACTATGGCTAAAATAGGGAGTTCTTGGTGGCCCTAGTGGCAAGAAGCTGTGCTGCAATTCCAAAGGCATGTGGTTTGAGTCCACCTGCTACTCCATGGGACAAGGATGGGAAGTCTCCACCCATGCACTTAGCTGCTTTTTTTTAAATTTTATTGGGAAAAACATGTTGGGGATACATGGAGGTGAGGGTTGGGAGAAGAGTGAGGATGGGCAGGGATGAAAATTGCAGGGATGCAGTTACAATTTGGTTGGTGAGCATTTAGCTGCTTTTGAAAACCAGAGGTCAGCTTTGGGTCAGTTCCAACTCTATGGTACATAACAATAACAACAATATAGAGTAGACTGGGGTGCCAGGACATTTAACTGTGCTCATGTGAGTCTATACCTAAAGCAAGAAACTGTTGTTTATTAGAGCACTGGAACACTGCATGCTTTAGAATCAGGAAATGAGAGTGCCAGAGATGTATCATTTCTCCCTACCTGTTCAATGCATCTATTCCTTCTGTAAGCCTCTATTTGAGTGCCTCACATCTGCCCGTAATCTTTCAAAGTCCTCTTGCTTGTAGATGATCCTCATAGGTCCTCTGATCTTTTAATAAGTCAGGAGTGCTAGAGTCTCAACTTATGATTCCTTATATCACATTTTATTATGTGAGAGAAATGTTATCATTTTTGTATGCTTGTATGTAAATGTGTATATGCTTATATATGTGGATATATATGTAAATACCTCAAAATCATCTGTTATCAGGGAATTACTTCAGATTTATTTCCTGGGGTGAAATTACCGAAACCAGATTACAATGATTTGCTGGCAGCCATCAAAGACAACTGTGATTCTATGAATTTACAAATGACAGATTTCTTTTCTGAGAAGATTCTTCAAATATATGAAATGATGATTGTGCGCCATGGCTTTATGATTGTTGGTGAACCATTTGGAGGGAAGACCTGTGCGTATCGTGTCCTAGCTGGGGCCCTAGATGATATATGTGAAAAAGTAAGTCAACACTGTTACTAATGAACTAATGTATTGGTTGCTATTGCCTATGTATTAATTGCTATTACTACTGTTATTTCATTTTGGAGGAACATTCTTCTAATTTGTACAGCACTCTTCTGTCAGTTAGCTCTACAAAGGTAGTCTGGGTTTGCTGTGAAGCTGAACTTTGTCCCCTTGGGGTTCAAATGCCATAATGGCTGCCCATGGTGGACAGTGTTTGGTGGAGCTCCCAGTCTTAAGACAGGTTTGGAAACAATCCTGGCATCCACTTCCTAAACCACATGCCTCTGGAAACTCTATGAACCTGGAGAAATGATGATGGTTATAGAAAGGCTTTAGGCCTTCTGTTATAGGCTTGCTATGAGTCGTCCTCGACTCGACGGCAATGAACAACAACCACAATGTATTGATAATTAGATGGGTGCAGAAAACAGTGTAAGACCGTGCATACATATTCTCAGTTGAGCCATTTAAATCAGGAGGGAAAAAAGTAAAAGTGAAAATAAAATTCAGTAGAAGTCACCATAACAAAAATGTACTGCTCTCCCTTCTGTTTATTTTTAAATATTTTTATTATAAAGTTAATACATTTTCAGTGTTGACAAAGTCTGGAAAATAGAGGAAATATTTTTGTACAGAGATTTTCCTTGTGTACTTTTAGGAGTACAAGTTATCAGATTCCCAAATGATTGAATTTATAATATAAACATCTGTTACTGGCTGCTCCTGGGATGTATATATGTTGTGAGGTGCTGTCAAGTCAAGCATAACGCATAGCAACTCTATGAACAGCCGACATGAGCTCTGCTCTGTGACATCATTGTCATCTCTGGCACTAGAGCCCATTGCTGAAGTCACTATGTCAATCCATCTCATTGGGAATCTTCTCCTTCACTGATCCTCTGTCTTTCTAAGCATGATGTCTGTCTTAAAGGACATGTACATACATACACACCTATGTATATAATATATAGTTGTTGTTATGTGCCACTAGTTCTCGTAGCCACAAGTCAATTCTGACTCACCAGAAACTCTCCACTGGATTTCCAAAGGCTTAAATCTTAACAAGAGGAGACTGCCCACTTTTCTACATCAGAGCACCTATGTGTGTATGTTGTTGTTGTTGTTGTTATGTGCTGTCGAGTTGCTTAGGACTCATAGCGACCCTATGTACAATAGTCCCAAACTCTGCTCTGTCCTGTCCACTTGCACTGTCTCTGTTACACCCATCCTGATTACCCCAGTCACTGAATCAGTCCACCTCATAGTGGGTCTTCCCCTCCTGTGCTGTCCCTCCACCCTTCCAAGCATGATGTCCCTCTCCAAGAACCAGTCCCCCCTCATAACATGTCCAAAGTATGTCAGACGAAGCCTCAAAATCCTTGCCTCCAAGGAGCAGCCTGGTTTAACCCTCTCCAGGATGAATCTGT